GACATGGAGGGACCTGGAAAGTATTATCCTAAGCGAAACACACCAAACAGAGATGGACAGGTATCATATGATCTCACTTATTCACGGAATATAATGAACATAACAGTCTGGGAAGTGGGGTAGTCCCAGAGACGTGGAGGTGGGGTACAGACTGACAATCCCCAGAAAAGGGAGTGGTGGGGGAGAGATAAACCACAGAACTTATATGCATGTGTGCATGAACAATGGACCCGAACAACAAAGGTGGGGAAAGGGTGGGGAGTGAGGTGGAGGGGGGAATCAGTGGGGGGAAAAGGAGAAACATCTGTAACAAAAATAAATTAATTAATAAGAATTAATAAAAGTCACTGTTCTGATTGATAATGAAGCCACTCTGATTGTTAGGTAAAGATAGTGATTGGGATATAGCTCTGATTGGATGAGGTTGAAATACAATTCTAGAAACTCTTTCATACAGGCTGGCTCAGATGTCAGTGCAGGGCAGCAGTTCAGTGAAGGCTTTTCCCTAAAGTACAGTTTGTGTGAGATGCCCTTTTAGAAACAGCTTCTAGGTTTTGCTTTTATTTATTTATTTATTTTTTATTTTCACCTGAGGACATTTTTACATTTATCTTCAGATAGAGCGGGAGGGAGAGAGGGAGGAAACGAGAGAGAGAAAAAAACATCGATGTGAAAGAGACACTTAGAGTGGTTGCCACCCACACAAGTCGGGGTTTGGGACAAACTGCAACCAAGGTACATGCCCTTAGTGGGAACTGAACCCGGGACTTGCGGGTCCACGGGCCAATGCTCTAACCACTGAGCAAAGCGAGCCAGGACCTAGGTTTTGCTTTTAAATTTGAGCCTGATTAGCCATCAGGAGTTCTTATCAGTAGGTATCTTCTTTCTCAGTGTCTACAATTCCAATAGCCAAAAACTCTAATTTACTTCATTTGGGGAGCCACTAGTTTTCAACTGTTTTATCACTTTACCCGTCGAATGCTTTAATAGACAATATCCTCTTTCTGCAGTAACTCAAAGCATTTTAAAACATGTACTTGAACGTTATTAATATTCTTTAACTAGTAGTTTTTGTCCACTTTATAACTGTGATTGACTCCCCCATCCCTTACCATCAAATTCAAGGACTGTGTGGATGTGTGGCAACTATGAGCTAGGTTCTCCTAATAGATACACAAAGAAACTAAAACCGATAGGACTTCCAGTCAAGATGGCGGTAAATGCTGTACTTGCCTCTTCCCACAACCACATCAAAATTACAACTAAACTGCACAACATATATCCTTCAGAAATGCCTAAAATCAAGCTGAATGGAAGTCCTACAACTACGACATTAAAGACACCACAACAAAACTGGTAGGGAGGAGGCGAGGACAAGCTGGTCCCACATACACGTGTGGCAGATAAAAATCAGAAGGGACACCTCGGCTGTGAAGGTCCTCCCTGAGGAGCAAGAGGTCCCATCCCATACCAGGTGTTCAGCTTAGGGTTCAAATGCCAGGAAGAGAATCCCCACAGCTTCTGGCTGTAAAAACCAGTGGGAACTGAGGCTGAGGGAGGGTGAGGTTGCTGGAGCCCCAGGCAGTTCCTCTTAAAGGGCCCACACACGAATTTACTCGGACCGTTCCCTCTGAGATCCAGTGTGGAGGAGAGGCAGCTTGAAAGGCACCAGAGACATCAGGGCAAGGGCTGGAGAGGCAGCTTTCTTCTGGACAGACCTGCTGGCAGAGGCCTTTATTCTTTTGGTAAGCCCTTCTCCCACAGAGAAGGCAGACATTTGCCATATCTGGGACTCCAGCAACCTGGCTCACACTGTTTGCCATGCCCTGGTGATTCCCTGAGGCCCTGCCCCACCCAAGGTGTTTCCAGTGGCTTTACCAAGACTGGCCTGTTTCAGCTCCTGCTTCAGATTTTCCTAAATTCTCTCAAACAAGCAGCATCTGGCCACAACAAGCCCCATACCTCTCACAAAGTGGCCCCAGGCTTGGCATTAGAAGCAGCCAGCCGTGGTTCACAGCTTGGCTTTGCCTGGGCACCTCCAAGCCCAGCACAAGAAGCAGCCATCGGCATATCACTTTGCATCTTTTTCCAGGTGGCCCTGGGTAAAACACAGGCAGAAGCTGACCTTGTCCCAGAGCCAGCACACCCAGTGGACCACTTCAAACCATGTCAATGCACCACCACCCAACCACCTCCACAAGTGACACACTCAATGAGTGGACTCAGTGGGTACCAGAGCCCTGCTGAAGTAAGTCTTGCTCTGTGTGGTGGGCTCCTGCACAGCTGATCATCCAAGGTTGTCGGAGGTCAGTGGTCACTGGGCACAGCCAGTCCTTGCAGCTGATCATCCTGAGTAAATCCCTCCCGTTGATGTGCCAACAGCAATCAAGACTCAATTACAACAAAAAAGGTGTAAAGTCCACATGAGGGGTGCACCTCTAGGGCCCAGCTGGGTGACCAAGGAGGCTATGCCACTGGACCCTACAGGACACCTACAACCACAGGCCACCCTACGAAGCCTAGGAGACATAGCAATTCTACCTAATACATAGGAACAAACACAGGGAGGCAGCCAAAATGAGGAGACAAAGAAACATGTCCCAGATGAAAGAACAGAACAAACTCCAGGAAAAGAACTAAACGAAATGGAGATAAGCAATCTAACAGATGCAGAGTTCAAAACACTGCTTATAAGGATGCTCAATTAATTTAGTGAGAATTACAAGGAACTTAGTGAGGACCTCAAGAGCATAATAAAGGACTAGTCAGAAATGAAGGATGCACTAATTGAAATAAAGAATAATTTACATGAAATCAATAGTAGAGTAGGTGAAGCCAAGATGCAAACCATCGATTTGGAATATAAGGAAGCAAAAAAAACACCCAATCAGAACAGCAAAAAGAATCCAAAAAAAGAGGATAGTATAAGGAGCCTGTGGGACAACCTCAAGCGTACCAACATTTGCATCATGGAAGTGCCAAAAGCAGAAGAGAGAGGGCAAGAAATTGAAAAACTATTTGAAAAAATAATGACAGAGAACTTCCCTAACTTGGTGTATAAAATGACATACAAGTCCAGGAAGCACAGAGAATCCCAAACAAGAAGAACCCAAAGAGGTCCACACCAACACACATCATCATCAAAATGCCAAAGGTTAAAGACAAAGAGAGAATCTTAAAAGCAGCAAGAGAAAAGCAGTTACCTAGCTACCACAGAGCTCCCATAAGGCTGTCAGCTGATTCCTCAAAAGAAACTTTGCAGGCCAGAAGAGAATGGTAAGAAACATTTAAAGTGTGATGGAAAGCAAGGACCTACAACCAAGATTACTCTATCCTACAAAACTATCACTTAGAATTGATGGCCACATAAAGAGTTTCCCAGACAAGAAAAAGGTAGAGGAGTTCATCACCACCAAACCAGTATTATATGAAATGTTGATGGGTCTTCTTGAAGAAGATAAAAAAAAAATATGAACAATAAAATGGCAATACATACCTATCAACAATGAAATCTACAAACAAAATGAGCAAACAGAACAGAAACAGACTTGTAGATACAGAGAACTCTGTTTTGGTTGCCAGATGGGAGGGGGTTTGGGTGGAAAAGATGAAGGGATTAGGAAGTATAAATTGCTTATTAGACTGATGAACCTCAAAGGGAAGGGGGGAGGTGGGGCGGGAAGAGAGAAACCAAAGAACTTATATGCATATATGCATAACCAATGGACACAAGGGAAGGCAGGAGGGGGGTGGGAGTGGGGGAGAAGGAGTCGGGGGTGGGAATAAAGGAGGAACATCTGTAATACACACAACAATAAAGATAAATTTAATTAAAAATTTTTAAAAAGAAACCTAAAACCAAAGAATTGCCCCATTTACACTTGTTTTAATAATTTCCTTATTACCCTGAAGGTACTGCTTAACTCTATCCAACTTTTTAAAAATTTATTTTGATAGTATTACAGATGCCTCCCAATTATCCCCATCCACCCAGCCCCCACCACACTATTGTCTGTGTCCATGGGCTATGCATATATGCATATATGTTCTTTGGTTAATCTCTTCCCATCCATATCCCACTCCCCTCTGAGATCTATCTGTCTGTTCCATGCATCCCTGCCTCTGGACCTGTTTGTTCATCAGTTTATTTTGTTCATTAGATTCCACATATATGTGAGATCATGTGATATTTGCCTTTCTCTAACTGGGTTGCTTTGCTTAGCATAGTAAGAATGCTGAAACACCAATCAGAAAGAATATATGCACCCCTGTTCACAGCAGCACTATTTACAATGGCTAAGATCTGAAAACAGCCCAAATGTCCATCAGTAGACGAATGGATAAAAAAGATGGTACATATACACAATGGAGTACTATGTGGCTTGAAAAGAAAAAAAAAAGGGATGTCTTACCATTAGTGACAGCATGGAGGGACCTGGAGACTATTATGCTAAGCAAAATATTCAGCTTTTTTAAAAATATTTTTTCTTTATTGATTTTAGAGAGAGAGGAAGGGAGAGGGAGAGATAGAAACATCAATGAGAAAAAACCTAGATTGGCCACCTCCTGCATGCACCCCACTGGGGATCGGGCCCACAACCTGGACATGTGCTCTGACCCGGAATTGAACCGGTGACCTCTTGGTGCATGGGTCGACGCTCAACCACTGAGCCACACCAGCCGAGCAAAATATCCAACTTCTTAATGCAAACTGTACAATTTAAAAAGTTTGATCTCTAGGAGAATACTAAGAATTTGCTATTTCATAACAAAGAATGCAATCCTTTCACAGGGAATAGGTTATTGTAAACAGAGACTTTAATGTTTTGTGTGTGGTTTTATTAAATTTACTGGGGTGACACTGGTTAATAAGATTATATGGGTTTCAAGTATATCATACCAAGTAAAATAAATCAGACAGAAAAAGTTAAGAACCATATGATTTCACTCATATGTGGGATATAAAACTGAAAGCAACAAATGAATAAACAAGGGGAAAAAATCTCATAGACACAGATAACAGTATGGGAACTAATTTGTTTAAAGACAAAGTCAATAGCTCAGTTTTACATTTCATATGTAAAACTATACTCTAAGTAGAAATATGGGGCTTAGCTTTCTCAGTAGAAAACAACCATCCAGTAGATTTTCTAAAAGTGAATTTAAACACGATGATTTTAGAGGAAAACAACATTTATTGCGTAAAAGTCTTATACTTATTAAAGGCACAAACCAAAACTAAGATTATTAAAGTTGACCACAATATTGGTAATTAAGTCATATCAATCTGGTAAAGAAATACCAGCTACAGCTAATGAAGATGAGTTGTTTTAAATTTCTCAGGAAAACACAATAATCCCGACACCATTAATTAGAACCTTTCAAGTGATAGAGGTAATATAAACATCAGTATAAACACCTTAACTTGGAGGCAAAGAAATGTAAAGTATAAGTGTGCTGCTATCTGATGTGTCACAGAACATGGCAGTGCCCTTTAGTCTTGGGTACCTTAGGTCAGAGACCATTACCACCATCTGGCAACTCTGATGGATGCCATCCAACTCCTGGCTGGAATTAAATTACACAATGTCACTCTCCACCTACTAGCAGAACAGAGACTAATCGAAACATTTTAACTTCTTGATGCAGTTTATGCAATCAAACCAAATAACCTTATCAGAGAAGGGGCCAGTTCAAAGGGGTATAGTACATCAAAACAGAAAATCCACAGTGCCTTTCAAAAGCCCTACATTGAGAAAAAACAATACTCAAGCGGAACACAGCACTGTTTCATTTACAATTTACTAGCTCTTCCAGTGTTTCAGAGTGATAAGGGAATTTCAATGATCTTACATAATGAATAGGACAAAAGATGGACTTATTACATATTGAACACATGTCTAGATTGAATCAGACTATATTGGTGTAGTTTTTCGGTCTTTGGTGACATGAGGCAGTTTTCCAACCAGGTAATCTAGTAATTCACAGAGGGGAATGTAAATGTCCTAAAATGAAAGAAAAAAAAAAGTTGATTTACTTGTAACCCAAATTTCAATATCTATATTCACTTGCACACATTGTAATCTATTCTACTAATGAAGGCCTTCATGTGTTCCCACTTTGCCCTAAGCACTTTTCTAAGTGCCAGAGTAACAGCACTAAAGCACCGCCTCTGCCACTATGGAGTATATGGTCTTATTTTACACCATGTATACCCCTATTTTTAATAGTTCTTTAATAAACTATTATAGATTTTCAAAAAAAAACATGTGAAGGGGCCCAAGGGATTCATTCAGCCAGCAGCAGTCCTCACATTTTCCCCAAATCTGGTTCCTGGTTAGGCTAGATGAGTTTATGGCTCTAATAATAGTCCACTGAGGACTGTGATAATGAGAACTAGGTCAAAGACTAGAGGAAATGCCACTGTTGGTTAAGAGCAGGGTGTGCTTCCCAGGGAACATCATTTCTCTTCACTCTAGGTTCAAATTTGTTAGAAAAGGGACCACTTAGGATCTTTAGGCTGACATGTGTAGGTAAACCCAAAAAAGCTCTTCTGTCCTTTCTGGCCAGGCCCTGTATTTAGGGCTAACATAGTACAAGTAAGATTTGAAGGCACTACTGTACTGGACAAGACCATTTTGGCAAACTTACTCCATCCATCACATGCACAGGCTGAAGCAAACACCAAGACTGACACAGCTGAGGTCCAAAATGAACGCACCTTAAAGTTGGAGAGGAGTAAACCTGTGTAATGTTGGTTACACTATCTCATACTGGTTGTTTGTTATAGCGCGAGAGAGGCAGTAGGCGAGAAAGATTCCAATCACCTGGAAATAAAATACGAGCAAAATTAAACACACATACCAAAGAGCTTTAAGACCTCAGGGTATAGGTATAGTCTCTTTCACTTCTAATTCACTAATGATTTCCTTCCTGAAGTTTTTCTTGACAGTTATGTTTGATACTCTGCAGCACCTAAGTCACATTCAAAGAACATAAGTGAAGTTCTACTACTATTGTGACCTGGAATTTCACAACTGTCATTGACAAAAACCACTCAAGGAAAATCCTCAATGTCATAATTTGAGGAAAACTTTTCTTACTCTTCCTCTCAGTTATCAGAACAAACAGGGTATGGTTTAGAATAAGCAAAAATCTCCATCTGTGAGGACAGTGAGTTTCCTGGAGGGTCTAGAGCAGTGCTGCAATGCTCTGTACCACCTCTCCTGTCCAATTCGGGCTCCATGACCACCGGTGGCTTTTCAACACTTCAAATAGGGCTACAGTAACTGAGGAAACAAATTTTAAATTTTGTTTATTAGAACCTTTCAAAGGTGGCTAGTGGCTATTAGACAATGCAGATTCAGATATAGCTATGCCTGCTACTTTAGAAATATATTAAGATTAGACTTCATCAATTACATATGTCAAAATGCTTTTAGTCTTATCTCCACAATGTTTAATGGGAAAAACTCTATCCCCTATAAAAATGTCTAGAGCCATAATACAGACTTTTCATGCTATAGTGAGACATAGCAAAACTCCAGAAACATCATTTGAATCCACAATATAGCATCCACTCAAAATAATAGGTGTGTGGGTTGTATGATCTAAATTTTAATAGGCTGGGACTTATATGCAATTCATCAGGCAGCTGCAGCTCAAGAAAAAACAATTCTAATAATGTTTTAGAATCTTGACTAACTGCAGAGCAAAGCAAGGTTCCAGTCTATCTCATGTTTTGCTTAAATAAATATGATGTGCCCTGGCCGGTTTGGCTCAGAGGTTAGAGCATCAGGCTACGGACCAGAGAGTCCCGGGTTCAGTTCCCACTGGGCCCTAGTGGCTAGGGACACGTACCAAAAATAAATAAATAAATAAATAAATAAATAAATAAATAAATAAATAAGATGCTAGAAAGTTGCCATAATTAAGAGGGCACCAGGTCTTTCTACAGTTAACTGGTTTCAAAAGATATATACTGCTAGAAGTTCATTTTAAGCCTTGCTTTTTTGCATTTTCAAGGCATGACTTGTCATGGTGAAAAGAAAAGTAAAATGGTAATAAAAAACTTTGAGAACTCCATAACCGTGGAAAAATATAAAAGCCAAGACATCAAAAAATTGGAATGAAAACAGCAAAATATTCCCTTCCAAATAAGCTAAAGACCCAATCACAAATGATTTACTACATGTGCTTCATACACACAAAATAAGTATTTCTACACTGTGATGAGCAACTGAGTTCTGTGAAAACGTAACTTCTTTGAAAATGCCCACATTCTCCAGGCTTCCGAAGCAAAAACTTGAAGCCTTCAAAGTGGAAATCTTCTAGCTAACACCTACAAGAGTAATGAAATATTTCCTAAGTACAAGGCCTCACCTGGAAGCAAGCAACTCCAAAGGAAATTCCAGCAACAACTCCCATTTCTGATTCTATAATGGTCATCACCTTTATAAAACAACCCTAATGGGAGGGGGGAAAAAACATTAAGTACAGCACAAGCACTATTTTGATTATACCATCTTGGCAGAACAATGAGCTTTGGCTACCCTGGCCTTTGCCATTTTATTACAATTTACTGTTTCATGTAACAAATCCTGTCTCCTTTGAAGTGCAGTGTTTTTGACTGAAGTCTGAGGATCAGAAGTTCTATCTTTTGGATTATACATTTAAAAAGTATTTCTTGCCGGTTATATGAACTCAGGCCACAAATTTTCTGTGTTTCAGTTTCCTCATTTAGTCAGTGAGGATAATACCTGCCCTATTTCAGATCATGTGTATTGTGAATAAAAATTAAAAACTGAGTCAACTCTGTATTTAGTTAATAGCTTTAAAAAATAATTTAAAAGGCTCCTTACTTCACTGTTTACTTTATCGGCATCTCTCTGAGGAGAACAATCTTCAACTTTACAGCAGCTCTTAGGAAATCCTTTTTCTATGAAATAATCAGTCTTCTCCCAATCTCTAAAGTTGGTGGCACCACAACAATGCAACTGAAAAATCCCAACATAAACATTGATACTTCACATTACGACTGTAGTCAAACATTTAACCTATCATCTTAGATTATTTGTGTTCAAAACAACATTTATTATATGTAATGACATTTTTGTGTGGCTATCCTCAATTAGCATTATAATTCAAAAGATGAGCCCTGGCCAGTTTGGCTCAGCAGTTAGAGCTTCAGCCCGCGGATCAGAGAGTTCCAGGTTCAGTTTCTGCTAAGGGCATGTACCTCGGTTGCAGTTTGTCCCCAGCCCCAGTTGGGGTCATGTGGGTGGCAGCCACTCAATGTGTCTCTCTCACATCGATGTTTCTCTCTCTCTCTTCCTGCCTCCCCTCTCTCCCTCCTGCTCTATCTGTAGATAAATGCAAAAGAAAAGTCCTCAGGTGAGGATAAAAAAAAAAAAATGAGCATTTGTTTCAACATCAAATGTTTCCACAATTTTTATACTGGCCTTACATTCCTGCTATTGTTGGTGCTAACAGGACTTGGGCCATGATGTCAATGGGAACTGAAGAGTTGCGCAGGTAAGGAGAATGATCAGAAAAAAATTGAGATATGTCCCTTAGTATCATCACACTCTTCGTTCCAGGGACACATCTCCATTCTTTCCTAATCTAAAATTATAATTAGAGTATAGGACAAGTGGATAACACCTAGTAGTCAGGGCCCTATCCTTTTCTCTCAGAGGACAGGGAATGTGTTTCCCTCTATAAAAGCCACCACCTATGACCACTTACCGTATTTTGAATCTTGTCTACTGCATCGCTTCTATAATCTCCCGTAGCATTATACTGCTTTAAAGCTTTCTCATAATTACTCTTAAAGCTTGCCTTAATCTACAACAAAGAAACACAAGGCCAATAAATGAAGATTCTGAAAGTTCTTTTGATTTCTAGGTCAGATAAGAAATTCCCACATCTGACCAATGGTTATATCTTTGACCTAAGCCATATGCATGGTAATTAACTTCTATGGTCCAATCCTGTCCTCCATGGGATCTAGTTTAGCTGAGAAGACTACTAAGCAAAACATTACAATAAAAGATGGTTAACACTACAAGTTTAAAGTGCTGTGAGAACATGTATTTATTCCAGTGGCAGCTCTCTAATGCTGTATCCTCCACCCCCAGATCTTTATTCACTTTAAATACTATAAATTCGATGCCTATGGAATTTTTAAGCTACAAAACCTTACTTAGGGAGACTGCACTACCACTTTATAAGAAACACTCTCATTGATGAGTCTTCCCTACTCACAGAATAATTTCCTAGTCCCAGGCTTAACAGACTGATTTCTAATTCAGCATTATGGTTTTCATGATTTGCGTTAGGTATATGCAATATTTTCTAACTGTGTGGCATAAGTGGAGAGGGTATCAAATTTTTGCTTTAAATAGTTTCCTATCAAAGTTATAAATTGTATCAGCTCCACTTTAATAGGTGCTTATACACAGAAAAATTACTAGAAATACATGTAATTATGGGTACCTTTAATTTTGTTCTGGTGACTGTTAGTCTTCACGATTTTCTAGATTTTATTTTATATTAAACATGGGCTAGAATTTTTACAAGAAAGCTATTATTGTTAGCTACTGGTTGCAAAGTACAGCTTTAAACACAGCTGTAAGTGATTTTTAAACTAGTAAAAGTTGTCTTTGACTCTGTGACTTAAATTAATCTATTTTTATCTCTCAAACTCAGGCTTACCTCATGTCTGAAAACAAATCCTACGATGGCAGCAACCAGTTCAACCAAAAAAATGAGAGTCAGAAACATTGCATACTGCAGGATAAAAAGAAAGTCCAAGTCAGCATAAATAAGATACATCACAGCTGCAAAGGGAGTCAAAAGGAAAAAACGGTGTGTTCAATCAGCGTGTTTTCATTGAAAAGGACAGGGAAAGCACAACAAAAGTGGTAATTGGCAGCTGAACTATTACTTGTTTTCATAAGGAACAAGAAAAATCTTAAAAGGCCATGGCCAGTTCCAAGAAACAAAGCCCACAAGATAGCTGTAAGACTTTTCAGAAACCAAGAACTAGTTCTAAGGAAATATAAGGACTCACCAGTTTTAGCATCCACGCAGAAGCTCGGCAGGTAGCAAAACAGCCAAAGGTGCCCAAAAGAATGATGACAGTGCCAGTGCCAATGAGCACAAAGGGAACATTGGTGGCCTTCTCATTTAAAAGGGAAAAATAATTATCCAGGCTCACCTTGCCCCAAATGCCAACAGCGAGAAGGATAACACCAGTGATCTATGTGGGATATCACAGAATAGAAAGTTATACACTGTATACTCAAAGTTATACATGTATATTCCAACCACAAACCAACCACTAGGTATTTAAGAAATCACAGGTGTGACAATTGATTTAGCAGTCTGTGGCCACAGAGCTGTGGCTGAGATAGGGCACACAAGGGGGGGGGGGTTGATGAGAGGGGTAGGAAGGGGATCTGCAAGAGAGGGGTAGGAAGGGGATCTGCACAACCAGGACAGGTCTCGACAAATCCACACTCAGGATGTTAGGTTGACCTGGTAGCCAGAGGGCAGCTACAGAAGGCATCTTAATGAAATCTTGAAACTTCATCTGTTTTTTTTGTGTAAACAGAAGCCCAGGGCCTATTTGCCCTAGGGATCAACACTTTTCTTAACAGCGTTACTCCTACCTAAGGAAAATTTTCCTGGAGGGGGAGGGGTGTTTTTATGAATTCCAGAAACTTCCCCCTTCCCCCAAGTTCAGAGATGAGCACAAAGGGGTGGTGGTACACAAAAGCAAGCCCAAGGATAGACTGGCGGGAGTGGGGCCATTACCACACTTACCTGTGAAATACTCCCCTCTTATGAAGCAGTGAAAAGAAAGAGACTATTAAGCAAGCAAGCCCTCAGAGTGGCCGGCCCAGCCCTGCTTCCCGGACAGCCTCTGCGTACCCTGAAGGGTAAACTCTCTTCCTCGCCCCCCGCCCCCGCCCCACATGGAATTCAAACACTAGGCAAGTCTGGATCCCAGTGTTCAGCCTCCCGCCCGCCGTCGCCCCGCACTGCGACCCCAGCACCGGCGAGATGCCCGATCTCGAGCCAGGCGCCTAAGTCCCAACAGCCATCTCTGCCCAAACCTCTCCACCCGGTGTCTCTCTTAGAACCCGGGATCTGCGCTCCCTCCGCTCAAGGTTACACCCCCAATCCAAGCCCAGGATCCCCTCCCGTCCGCAGGCGCCTCGGTCTCTCACCCAGAAGATGAAAGTGTAGATCAGGAGGACGCTCTTGAAACAAGTAATGACTGGTTTAGTCTGCAGTCTCCTGGACGGGGACGCCATGACTAGCCCCGTACCCTGCCCCGCCGCACTAGGCGATCAGAACAGAGAAAGCAAGAAGCGGCGTCCCCGAGTCTCCCCGGAAACTGCCGAAAACACGAGCATCCACAACTGAGAAGAGCCGGAAACACTGTTCAGTTTTCTAGAGGGTAAAGTCCTGGAGGCTGTCCGGACAGTGACGACAATTTCCGAGCGCCCCCTGGCGAAGGTTACTGAAACTATGTACAAAGGTTCTAGTGTTGGGAATTTCTTAGATCTTTCAGTGGATTTTGCTTCCTTTTTTTACTAAGAATTTTTCCCGCCCCTCCTCCCCCCGCCTCTCCACCACTCTTATAACTTTATGTTGTTTCTATCACCAGCAGCGCCAGCGCTGAGAGATTCGGCCTCATCGGCCCCTAGTGCCCTAGAAGGAAAGGAAAGGAATAAAGAGAAGTTAAAAGTGACCTAAGAACATTTTATTACCTGGCAAAATACTCACAAGAAATGTATTTCCAAAGACAAAGCAGGCTGCAAAGCGATAGGATAGGTACTGTCACACGTTTTGAGACAGAAACTGAAGGGAAAAGAGCAATCTGCTTGAGTGGAGGGATTAGGCTGATTTTTTTTTTTTCACTTGTTTTGTGCTTTTCAATTTTTTGAACATTGTTTTACGCGGTGGGCAGAGGGCATAAGAATGAACGGATTGTGGGGAATAATCACTTGTTGAAAGAATTCCAAGTTAGGTCTGACCAATTGATAATAAATTTTAGAATTTCCTTTCTCATCATCCTCTAAGTAATTGGAAAAGTATTTAAAAGTAATTAATGCTGAAATGTAAATTCAGCCATTGGCTGCAAACTTTTAAAGGGGGAAGGTGCTACAGAGAATGTCAGGTAAATGTGCCCCCCCCCCTTTAAATGTTAAAACTGAAAGGCACTGTATATTCCAGCCCCCTGGTATTTCAGATTAATAACCAGCTGATCACAAAGAGGCTGAAATCTAAGGTCACACAGCTAATAGCAAACCAAAGTTTACTGTGCTAGTATTATTTTTCCTTTTAAATCCCGTGTAGGTAGTTCAGTGTTCCCATGTTATGTATCATGAGCAGGTGGATCCATTTTGTTACAGCACAGAGTATGTACTAAGGTTTCTCAACTAAAGTGTAAACTCTTTGAGATCTGAGGCTGAGAGTCCAGTGAGTGTGTATTATTTCTAGAGAAACAGGATTAGAAGACCATATCACTTGCCTGTCCAACCCATCACATCATTATTGACACACGCTTAACATCACAAATGAGCATTTAGTAGTATTGCTATGGCAAAAAGTCCTGCATTAGTGAAGGAAAGATGAATGCTCAAACCTTTTTACTTGAAACCTTGCTTTAAACATATACCACAGAACCAGAAAATAGGAAAGTTCCATTGACTTGTTAACACAGAGCTTCCCTGTACTTCGAATATTGACCTAGGACCAGCTCCTTTTAGCATCATGCCAGATGTCTGAGGTCCAAGACAGCAACTATTGGAGACTGAATTACTATACTACCAGGCTTTACACTAAAAGTTTATCCTAAAATTAGAAAAGCCTAACTTAAATACATGGCGAGAATGGGTAAATTATACATCTATATTCCTATTAGCAATGAAGAAAGATCATCAGGAAATATCGCATACATCAACCTTTCAAGCACCACATGTGCCATGGCTACAGGAAATAAGGTTTGAGGGGGATTCTAATTGTGTCAAAGCTTACTTCTGAGGCTAGATAACACTCTCTGAGGGGTTTTCCTATTAAATAAGTATAAAGGGAGGCCCTGCTAACTCCTTGTCATCTTAAATGGAAGTTTCTTCTGAAACTTAGGTTTCTACCGTGTCCTTGAAGGGATTTTTGTTGTGAGCCTCAGAGCAAAGAAATAGGTCTGTGGCTGCAGAAAAAAAAAAAAAAATATTCAAAGCAAAAGCCACATCTTATTTCCAAAAATGTGTTGATCTTCCTCCTCTCCCTTCCTCTGCCACTCACAACGCTGCTTTGTTTGAATAACAGTCGGTGCCAAATTAAACCAGAGGCTGACATAGAATTTAATATTCCTGTGGCCAGAACACCTTGCACCTTTGCCTCCCACCCTGCTACACCAGCCTCTACCACCCTCCCTCATCCCCCCCCCCTTCACCATGCCACCAAACCCAGAAGTTCAGTTTAGTTCAGATTCAAGCCTGAGTTTGGGTCCAAACTCAGACCAAGGGGGCATCTAATCACATCTAAGGCAATGTAAGGGGTAATTTTCTAAGTCAGAAGATAAATTCTTTAAAGTATTAATGATGACTGTAACATTGAGCATTGACTATGTACCAACACGAGTCATATCATGCATACATCACAAAAGCTGTTATTGTGATCTCAAGAATACTACTGGCAGCAGTTTACAGATAAGGAGACAGGTTCAGAGAGGCTAAGTAACTTGCCTAGGACTATGCACTGCCAACTTCTGTTGTCCTCATCAGAAATGGGGCCTACACTGTGATGAAATATGGCTGCCATTGTACAAACAGCTGTCTCAGCTGGGAATAACCCTACCAAAGGCTGCTATATTTATTCATTGAGCCACGAACAAGGGCTCTTTGGATCCCCTGAAGTATAAGAACCTGAGTTATTTCCCCAATTATTTTGTTTAGTTTTATGTTTGCCTTCACTCCAATAACCCAAACACCTAAAAAGTTACCCTGCCTGTCCCAGAGTGGTGTGTAGAGAGTTCTATACTTGTTTTGGTTCAACTTCTTAATTTCTCACTCTTTCTGATTACAAAAATACCTGTTTGATACTGAAAACACGGGGAAAAAAGAAAAATATTTTCTTAACTATTGTTGCTGCTTGTTTTACATTAAATATTTAGTAGGGATCTTTGTTGCTTCCCTATTAACTTGCTATAACCTTGGAGATTAGGTTTACATATTTTTCTTTGGCATTTAAACTATGCTTCCCTCAGCAAATATTATATAAACTCCTACTGCTTTTCCATTAAATTTCTGTTCCACAATAGACACACTATGATTCCTCCCCAATAAACAAAATGTTCCCTATTCCTTTCCCATCCTCCAGTCTCACTCAAAATTTCTACCCTCTACTTAAGTACTTAATGTTCAGCTCAATCTCAACTCAAAGAGAGCATTCTTCCTCCACCCCCCCAATATAACCCCACATTCTCTCACCACCCCATCTCCTCCCTACTTCCTACTTCTCCTTATCCCCACCCCCACCTTCCCCAGGTCCCACTAACCCTCCACCTCCCCCCACACTCTCACCCACCATATACATATACCTTTAACATCAGTACTCATAGTCTGACCACTCACATTAACTCAGACCCTTAGTTATTATGGTACCTGGTACTTGCCTTCTTCTCTACTTACCTATCTTATATCCTGCTGCCTACATGTTCAGAAACTACTTGAAGAGCCAGTGTGGCAGGCTCATGCACCCCCTTTTATACTCTCCCCAACACTCGAGGACACAATGCTCAATTGATGAGCTCATTTGGTGCTCAGCCAATCCCTGTTGAGCTCACTAGTCATAGCTAGTCTCTGAGGCTAATCACTTAGTAGTGACTCAAGGTTTGATTAATTTAACTTAATTAAATGTCTAAGCCATCACACTGTCATAAAACAGAAAAAATTAAGTTGAGCGGCTGCATAATGTCTTGGGATGTTACTCTACTCTGTCTTAGGAACCAGTAAAAAGACATCAACCATTTCACTCAGAATACGTCTTATCTCTTATTCACATAATGAGCTTTATCATTTTGATTTCCTAATACTTTTTCTAGGATTCCTTCAATTACCTTTGGCTAAGTGACTATCATAAAATTTTAAAGCATCTCCTACTTATTAAAACCTCATTTTACATTATTGCCAACAGATAAACATCATTTAAACATCATCGTTTAAATAAATAATTCATATGCACAGTTTTAAAAGTTAGTTTCCTGAATAGGGATACCTTTTTATTTGTATTGTTTCTTACATAGTCTCATTATTCCTTCTCTGAAATTCCCTTCTGTGTTCATTTTTCATTCACTTTTTTCCAATCACTCCTTTTAGATTCTCCATGAATCTTTTACTCCCTTTTCAGTCCTGATCTTGCCGTCTTCAAAAAAATCTTATACAGTTTGGGACACATAGAGATGAGAAGTACTTTTAAATGGTGTTAAAATTCACAATTCCAGGTTAATTTGCCTTAGTCCATTTTCTAAGAAAGTTGTTTCTAGTCTAGTCTGTTAATCTTTGCTGCAATCTCAGCTAGGCAAGTCAGTTACTAAATCCAATATTTCTTAAAGCAATATCTTATTGACTACTGATGGGCTGCATATTTAAAGTCTTGAAGTTGAAAATGATACTGAACTTTAAGAAATTTAAGAAATTTATGTTTTTGTCAGTCTCTTTGTCTTATCTTCCCAACCAAATCATATGGACAGGTGTTTTATTTAACTTTTTATCCTTGAAGTGTCTAATACAGTGTATTATCCACACATAATAGGCACTGAAGAATTTTTTTTTTTTTTACTTAAGCACACCTGTTTTAGGTAAGCTCTTTATATATATTATGCTTCATAGAATGCTGTCCCTCTTCTCTCATTTATCCCCTTACTTTGTTCTCCCTATGATTGCCATATTCTCCTCCCTTCACTTTCTTCTTGAACCTCTCTCTGCCACCCCTCTATCTTTTCTTTCCAGCTCTAATTGGAATGTGAGGCCTGATGCAGCATCTCCATCCTAGTGTGTGCTTAGACTGTGTTTGGTGCTGGGGAAATGAAGAAGACTAGGCACTCACAGTATAGTAGGGGACAGAGTTGAGTCTGAGATTAACAGACTAGCATAATAGCAGACAGAGATTGTCATAGACGAACAAGTGTGATATGTTCTATAATTGAGACATATACAAAGTGATATGATTAAAAGGAAGGTGAAGTAAATCAGCTCTGGCTGAAGTGGGCTGAGGGCAACTTCTGAGCAGCAAAGATGAATAGGTTTCCATTGACCAGGAAAGGAGGGAAAAGAATACAATGTAGAGTAAATATGTCTGTGTAAAGGCACTAAGGTGTGAAAGGAAGAACAAGAAGTTCAGTGTGTCCAGAATGAGAAGTTATGGGGTAAATGTTTAAAACTAATCTCAGGACATAGGTGGTGTTTGCTTGTGAAGAATTTGGTATGCCCTGCTAAGAGTTCAGACTGTACTCTCTGCCAAGAAGGAGCCAGTGAAAGAGTTTTTGTTTGTTTGTTTTTGAGAAAGAAAACAACCCTGGTAAAACTTATTTCTTCTCTCTCTAAATATCTCCCTTCTTTAATCTCTCTCTCTCTCTCTCTCTCTCTCTCTCTCTCTCTCTCTCACTCACACACACACACACACACATTTAATATATTCACTATTTTCTAACACATATGTTCAGAGTGAACACTTATTTTGATTTCAAGGGCCCCACAATATTGTCCTATTCCATTTATTCAACTTTGTTTACGTAACATTCCCCTGAACCCTCTAACCAGTTAACCCAGACCCCTCTGACCTAACAATGAACTCTTGTTTATGTCATCTTCCTTTCCAGAGAACAGACCAAGGGCCACCTCTTCCCACAGGGTGCTCAGAGAGTCCTCACAGTTTACACCATATATTTTGGAATTATATGGTCTCGTGCTATTTTCTAACTGTTTATGCCCCCCTTTCCTCTACTAAACATAAACACTCTGGAAGTTGGAGAATAAGCTCTTTAAGATCAAGGATCACACGGTTCTTACTCACCACTGTCCCCTAGTTCTTAGCTTATAGTAGATACCCAATGAAGGTTACTTTCCTAAGCATATAAAATTGTAATCAAGAACTGTGTTTTAATTTCTGTCTCCTTCATTCCATAAGAGCAAGGATTTTGTCTTTTTTGTTCACTTATGTCTCTCAAGTACCTAGAAGAGTGTGTGGCACATAATAGATACTTAGTAAATATTTGTTGAATTAATTATGGATTAGGATATCTGGGATATCTGTTCACCATCCTTAACAAGTAGATGTTTGATAAATGTATTGAATGAATGAGACCATGATCATATCTTCAACTTCTTTATACCACTATCACTGTTGAACACATGGTAAACACTCAATACATATTTATTATTGGTGAACTAGAAATTAAGCAGACTTGTTACTGAACTTTTTGTTATCATAAGCACATTTCTTCTCTTCATAGATGAAAAGAAGTTACCAATTTGCTTGCACACAGAGGAAAGAAACCCTTTCTACCACAATTAAAATATTTCTGCTATGATCACTGATTTTCCAAGGATGGAAATATCAAGTCTGAGGGGAGGAAGAATGTAAGGAGTTGGACTACACTGTGGTAGAATAGTCTCATTATCAGATACTAAAAAGAAAGCTTGCTTAGTAAATAGAAACATGTTTCTACATCAGAGGACACTGGGAAACAGCTTAGCAATGGCTATAACCTTGCCATGCACAGATCATCTAAATTTGCTTCAACAGCCTTCAGCTAAAGCCTCTCTAAGCATGCTTTCCCTCCACTTTTATCATGGGAAATCAGTCTTTATTCTTCAGCCAAGAAGTGCATGGTATTTTTTGTAAACAACATAATCTTATCAGAAACTGAAGTCCATAGAAGTTAGGTAATCAGTGCTAAGGTTTCAAAGTGTGTCTGACCCTGTACATATAGATGACAAGGCAATTTGGAGTGTGGGAGTACTAAGGAATTACAGGGAAATCTCCAGGGAATGTCAGTCAACTATGCTCTTCTCTTCTTCTTCGAGTTTGGGAAATTCCTTTTCATTCAAACTTGATGTGATGCTGAGTCATAAAAGGATGTGTTCTTCAGTACACCACATCTCTCGGGAGGCCCTTTAGCCAGCCTCTGTTAGTCATTACTATAAGCACTGGCATGGGGCCAGTGCCATTCACACTTTCCCCTGTTCTGCAGCAGACGACAGACCGAGTTCCTCTAATCCTTGTGTTCTTTCTCCCCAACCTCTTTAAAACTCCTTTCTGAGGAAGAAACAGCTATAGCTTGGGGGCTAATATAGCTTTAAGGAAACTTTTGGCAGATGCGGATGTCCTAACATCTGGGCAGTTTTAACAGAATCCCGGAGGCCCTGACAGACCGGGAGCCACTAGTTCTAGGAATGTTAAATTAGAAGTTTTTCGACTGATGAGAGAAGCAGAGAAAAAGGAGAAAGAGAACGAGGAGAGAAAAAGAGAGCACCAAAACCCATAAAACAGGTAAGATCTGCTGCTTAACCCTTCCACACTACACTGCCCCCCTTTCACAACCATGGGGGGTAACAAGACCCATGACTTGGGCAACATGGCTGGGGGTGAAGGTGGGGAAAGAAGTTATTTTATGAAACTGGGTCATATGCTGCTTTTCATTTGAGCTGTGACCTGGCTGCAGACACAGGTTCTCACCACCTTCCCCGATGCTCAGCAGAGGGATGGCTGACTCTGGTGAGTCAAATTCTCAGTCTGAAATTGTGGAGGAGGTGAGTGGGGAAGCCATCACAGTCTCAGAACATCAGATCTAGAAAGAAAAGCCCTTCTTGTTCCTGAACCAAAGAATTGGATTGAGGCTGAATGTGGGAGGCGGGTTCAGTGATTAGTTTATTTAGCTATTCATTTTCATGAATTTATCCTCTTTCTTATTTTTTGGTTCCCTCTTTCTGCTTTTATCTTTTTCCTTCAGCTCTGGCAGATTACTTCTCTTTCTAGCTTCCTTCTCACAACTTTCCTCTTTCCTTGCCCCCCTCATTTGCTCTCACTTTTTCTCTATCCTGCTTCCTTGCCACTGTCTAGACACAGTCTGAAGTCAAGTAGCAATAAATTGGAAGATGAATTTGTGTCATTCTTGGACTTCTCATGTCCCTTGGTGTCCCTGGCCAGAATCTGCCATCTTTTTATTTCTCCATTTCTGGGATTGACTCCTCCCCGAGCATGGCATTTCATTGAAAGTATATGGGTGAATAGGTGCTTACTGAAAAGTCCACTGGCTAGTTTATACCAATGGGCAGCAAATTTTAATACTGTCATTTATGAGGTATTTGCCTACTGGGAACCACAAAGCTCTAATTCTATTAGAGTGAGGATAGGACAGGAAATGAAAGGGCAATTGGAGCTTGCTCACCCTCTCCTCACATACCTCAGTAGGTTTTTCTCAACCTCGCTAGACTTCCTGCTGTCTCAGCAGGATAAAACTAGAAGGTTAGGCTGGACTTGAAAGCCAGAAGCCACTACCAAACCACTAAGCTTCAAAAACAAAAGCTGAGACCATAGCCAGGGTATAGGTACTGCTAAAGACATCTAGTCCTGTCCACTACAAAGTTAGTAATAATAACTAATATATATTGATTCTTTCCCTATGTGCCAGGAAACAATCTGATCTATAAAGGAGATACAAACAACAGTGTGGTGATTGCCAGAGGAAAGGAGGTGGAGGGAGGTAGAAGAGGGTATGGGGGGATAAATGGTGACTGAAGAATACTTCACTTGGGGTGGTGAACACACAATACAGCACACAGATTATGTATTGTAGAATTGTGTACTTGAAACTTATATAATTTTGTTAACCAGTGTCATCCCAATAAATTCAATGAAAAGGAAAAAATAAAGAAATAAAATAAGCTGGAATAAAGGTAGATGCTATTATTATTCTAATTTTATAGATGAGGAAACTGAGGCTCAGAGAAGTTAAGGAATTTTCCCAATGCCACATAGCTAATTAGGGCAGAATTAGATACATATTCAGATGTGTATAACTCCAGTGTTCAAACTTAGTCCATACAGGCTAATACTTTCCCAGATTAGTAGTTAAGGAAATAACAGTTAAATGGATGAAACCATCAACTGGCAGCCTTTAGATCGCAGGATTCCATCTTGATGCTATATGACTTTATGTTGGCCCTTTCCTGGTCTTGTTACTTCAATGACCCTCTCTATAACTTGGACCACGGAACATTTGCATCTGATCTCTCACCATGGTCAATTGAAAAGTGACTGTTTTATATTCTTCTCCTTCTGGGAAGAAAGAAGACTGTAAATTACAAATAGTCTTCTTATTCTATAAAATGGAAGATCCTTACAAAAGGGAGATGATATAACAGGCATTCATTAATTTAAAAATCTCTCTTCTTCCTTGCAGATCCCACATTTCTGCTTCTTGTCACTTTTGGAAGTTCATTGATGGCTGATTTATGAAAAGTATTTTTCTTTGTCCTGGTACTTCTGGCCACCTATTCCTATTCTTATTGCCCTAATAATTCCTACCCCTTAAAAGGATGACTGGTAAAATAACTCAAAGAGGAGCTCTCTCTCTGCTGCTGTTCCTTGCTCCAGCAGTGACACCAACATGGTTAGCAGGTAAGTTCTAGGAGCTGTGGCCCATTATTTCTATGGAGGGCAGGGCCTAGACCAAGTCTTGGAGAAGGGAAGAGGTAGACTGCAATGAAAGATACTTAAATTAGATACCAAGAAGAACTGTTCTCAAAAACAAAGACGGGTAAATGTTACAATAGGCTACAAAGGGAGGTGTTGAGGCAAACTAACAAGAGATATTTGAAATCAGACTGCACTGGCTAAAAAAGAGAAGGTTGGACTACATGGTTTTTGAGGCCATTGTCTCACCTGCTTTGCCTGCTTCTGCACTTAGCTTCCTCCCTCCCTCCGTCCCTCTGTCTCTCATTCCCAGATCTGATTTACCCAATGAGATTTTTATAGCCCCTTTCTGCCAAAGATGTTAATGACAATACAGATCACATTCTCTCAAACAGGAATTCCCCAGTTTCTTCTGGCTTGTTCCTTACTTCAGAAGAGATGGAGAGTTCTGGATTCCTGAATGTTTCATCCTTTGCCCCTGGAGACACAGAGAGTTGAAGAGAACAAACTCAGTGAGGAGAGAGAAAAGGGGAGTAGGAGGAATGATGGAAAGATAATGAAGGGGAAGACAGAGGTTTTTGATGGGGCCCAGCTGGCATTCCAAGTGCTAAGAATATTCTGTGGCCTGCAGTGTCTGCCTTCATGGGGGTTGGAGGAGAGTAGGGGAAACAGACAGTCCCAACCAATGGAATTAGGAAAATATCCAGAGATGAGTAAATAACAAACTGCTTCCATCATAGCCGCAGTCATTGCAGCTAAAATTTTCCACATGCCCTGGGCTTCTGGTGGAGGCCTTTGGCAATAGTTCTGTTTGCCTGGAACAGCTGCATGAAGCTTTCAAACAAATATGCAAACTTCTTCCCCTCTTTGGCTTAACCTGGCTTTGTAGGGGGTGAAGCACAAGGGCTGACATTGAGATGAAGAAATTAAAGTCAAGCCCTTTGCAGAGTGCACGCTATTTGGGGTTAAAGGAGCCATCCTCCCCAACCTTCCCAAACTTCAGTTCACGTACATAAGACCAAAACCCAGCCAAAGACCATTGAAGACCTGTAAGAAACCTCATGGAATACAAATGCTTTGACCTTTCCCGGGGTAGAAGCCTGAACTATTGAAGTCTTGAGGAAAGAGCAGTTTTATTTTAAAACTTAGATTCATATGAAGTTCTCAAAGGGCTGTTTGCAAAGGTGGCACTTCCACTTTCACAAGAATCACCAGGGTCACCACTCCTTCTGAGGAGCCAGTCTGTGAGATCTCTGACAGCCCTGCAAACCCCCTCATTCTACCCTATTCTGTTCTTAGGAGGCTAAATGGTGGGATAAATTTGGAAATTTTTCAATCCTTCTTCCCCAAATTGCTAGCTCAGCTGCCTGAGCTTGCTCCACTTATTTGTTCATTTATTCACTATATATATTGACCACTGTCTATGCATCCAGCACTGTTTCATTCCTGACTATAGTGTTGTTCTCAAATGGGAATGGTACAAAGAAAGCCAAGTATAGATTCGGGACAAATCAGTAATAGGACCCAGGAATAATAAGCAGGGGTTGGGAATGGTTAATCATATAAATAGAGCAAACAATGGGTTAAAGGTGTATATTGGCATATCTGTGCAGTTCAGGAAGTCAGACTGTATTTGCTATTATAAGCCAGGCATTAGTGTGGATCTGAAAATAGTCTTCAAATGTCAGTTACAGTTCCAACCATACCTTTGTGAAAGGCAGTAGAGGGTCTGATTGTACTTTGGAAGTTGGAGGAACTCAGTAACAGACCCCATAGTAACCACTGAGGAATGCTGCCCAGACCTCTCTCCCCCAGGACTGAAGAGGCACAAGCAGATAGAACACTGTGAAAAGGGTGACCCTCTAGTTTCTTATATCTCATCTCAGTATCCTAATATTTGCAAAAAATACCCAAAGACAGGCAGAGAAAGGACATTGAAAGCCTTAAAGTAGTAAGGTGGCTTAAGATCATTCCTGTCACAAAGCAAACTTGGCACTGGGTGCAGCTACCTCTGCACCCTGGTGGAAACTATAATTATCTGACTGAGTCTTCCCCTCAGCTTTCCCACATCCCCTGTAATTCTGGAATGATGTAAAATGCTTGGTGGCCTTCGATCCCACACAAACAGAGTAAAAAGCTGGATTGCAAAAAAGGGTTGGGATTTTTAGCCCTGCTGGGCATTGTTCAAATTCTCCCCTACTTCTATCTTTAGTGGAGTGTCTGATTTGGTATTGAGAGGGTCAGATAGCCCTGGGCTGGAATGTTCACTCTACTCTTTACTAGCTGGGAGACTTGAACTACTCTCTTCACTCCTCTGAACCTGTTTCCTCATCTGACATTAGAGAGAAATAAGGGTGTTAACCTCACTGAGAGGTTAGGATGATATAATGAGATAACACAGGTAACGGGCTGAACACAGAACACGTGCTGATTGATATTAGCAGTTGTTGTTATTATCCAGCCATAGGCCTCTGTCACTCCTATTTGCTCTTCTGGTAAACAGAAGCTTGCTCCCTGATGGCCATTTTCTGACAAGCAAAGCTCTGGAACAAGAGTGCAGGGACTGAATCCTTTAGGGAATCACACACATCTGGCCTCTTGTTTACAGAAGCTATAAGGCTTTGAGGCTAATGCTAAACTGAAACAGCTGACAAGAATTCTGCCCTTCACAAATGTCCCACATGAGAAGAGAACAAACCTGAACAGAAGTAAATGAAATACAGAACTGAAATGGGAAAATATAAAAAGTCAAGGGAAAGAGTAAAAATGAAGTCTTTCCTCTGGAATGAGGGCAAACCTACAAGGACATGATTTCATAAGGCAAACTTTCAATTTGATTCAGTCCCTTGTTCATCAAGTTGGACTGGTTTCCCAACACACACACCCACCCCCAGTCTGTGGGGAATGGAGGAGCTTCATCATCTAGCCCTCTACTCCACCCTTTTGTGAAGGGGGCCCTGAGCCTCTTCCCAGAGAGGAGGCAGGCGTGCTTGTGGTCTGAGTGTTTATACAGGCCAAAGGGCTCCAGCACTAAAATCCAGCCCTGTCCTGTAAGCACACTCCTGGAAGTGAGGAATTGTCTTTTGACTCCAGCACGGCTGGCTGCTGTATTCCTGTGCGTGCATTAGGGCTCGGGGAGAGTGGAAGGAGGGTTTCCTGAAACTTCACTCCGGAAAGGACCAAGTTGTATTCCAATTAGTTCGTGTTCATGACTGATTTCCTGCCGTCTGGTGAAACACACTGTTTAGTCTCCCAGACAGCCGCAGACCTGCCTGCACCAGAGACTGGGCCACTTAACAGAATGGGGGTGGGCTGGGAATGTTTTCCAGCTCATTGGCTACCTGCTAAAGCTCCTGCTGATTAGAGGAAACGGAAATTTCTCCAAAGGACCCTGCTTGCTTTTTCTTCCAAAACAGGACAAACTGCTCAGGACATTGAAACTATCTTCATTTCCCCTTGCCTTTTGAGCCCTCTTTCTTTGCCTTGGCATGCCACCCTTAGCAATGGCAACCAAGTGGCAAAAGGCTTGTGCCCTGTGGGCTAGTGGGAGCTTGAGAAATCATTTCCTTCTCAGGACTGTGAGCAGGCTTGTCTTGTCTCTAGTGGAAAGACCCTTACTCAGGCTCTATTTTTTTCCTTCTACCCGGGACAACTGTCCAACCTCAGAGCTTGGTCGTGAGCAACTCACAGGAAATGGGTCATTTATAGTCCAGACTGGCAGGATTGACAGGTGGTCAAGATGTTTGTTTGTTTGCTTTTTCTTTTAAATGAAGGCTTCTAGTGCTACCAGTACCCCTCTTCCACCTCACCTCAAAATCTCCCCCTTTATGCACCTGAGGTGCTGAGGTTTGCCCACAGTAGTTCTGCTGTTTTTTTTTGTTTTTGTTTTTTGTTTTTTTTATCCTCACCCGAGGACATTTTTCCACTTTTTGTTCAGGTAGAGTGGGAGGGAGAGAGAGGAACAGAAAGAGAGAGAGAGAAACATCGATGTGAAAGGAACACATCGAGTGGCTGCCACCCACACAACCGACCAGGGCCGGGGACAAACTGCAACCGAGGTACGCGCCCTTAGCGGGAACCGAACCCGGGTCTCTCAGGACCGCAGGCCGACGCTCTAACCGCTGAGCCAAACCGGCCAGGGCAGTTCTGCTGTTTTACAAGGCAGAATTTCCCCCACTAAATATCCATCTGGCTTGCCGCCCATAGAGTGTCATGTCCTTGGGAAGAGATCAAGTTGAAAAGAGGAAAGTTGGGAAAGAATTTGAGTGAGAAGTCAATATGTCACCTTGATATTGTCTTATTCATTTTAGGTTCAGGCTACTACCCAGATGAAAGCTACAATGAAGTATATGCTGAAGAGGTCCCACAGGTCCCTGCCCTAGACTACCGAGGTAATCTTCATTGCTTCTCATGCTTAGGAGGGTCTTTCCTGGCCTAAGGCCTAGGCCATGCCTAAAGCACCCTTTTTCAGTTTGGCTCATATGTGCCAAAACTGAAGCCCAGAGGATCAAGAGCTATGATTTCCAATCATGAACTTGGTTACTGATTTGCTGTGTGACTTTACCTTTCTAGCACTAAGGTTGCCAATCTCTTACTAATTGTTAAGTATTGACTGAGTACCTCCTGTAATCCTAATCCTGTGCAAGGTAAACCTATGAATGATACATAAACGTGTGCCCATGAAGGAGTTTACATTCCTCTGGAGGGAAGGATTAGTGAGGGGGCAATAAAATTAGCACATGAAGAGCAAGTGTGAAACAATGTGGTAGCAGCAAATGCAATAGGAGTTAAGAAAAAGAAGTCAGGGAAAGGGTCATGAAAGACTTTATTTAGATTAGGTTTTGAATGATGGGTGGATTTTGAGAACTAGAAAAGGAAGGAAAGGGCATTCAAAAAGGCAGATGCCCACAGATATAGAGGTAAGAACAAACCTCTTAGAGGAAGGAACTAGGAACCAGCCTAACTGGAGGAAGTAGCAGAAAATAAAGTTGAATATAAAATAGTGAGACCAAATTAGGAAAGGTTCCATGATCTACAAGGCTCTTCTAAGGAGGGACAGGAAGACTGTCTCTGAAGAATCCTGAATAGCTATTCTGTGCTAGAAGGAAAGTTAGACCAGATAATATCTCATTTCTCTTGCATTTCTAAGATTCTTTGTTTCTATGCTTTCAAGCTATGCAGAAAGTTTAGCTGTTGTACTATGATTTATAGAGAGCCATCATATGTGTTTGCCCAGGGGACTGACATGGTAAATGGTAATTTTAGAATATTAATCTCATTATTGTATATAGAAAGTAGGGATTTGGTAGGGGTAGAGCCTGAGTCAGGGAGACTCTCCAGGAATCAGTAACGGTAATGTTGGTTAGAGATGATTGAATGTAGTAGCAGAGAAATGAAGAATAAGGATGAGCCCCAGAGATGTTTCAAAGAAAGAGATGGCAAAACTTGGTACAGATTTGACGTACCAGAGGCTAAGAAGCAAAGGAATGTCTGAAAGCATCCAGTCTGAGTACCTGAAAGAACTGTAAGGCCCTGCTCAGAAAGATAAGGTTAAAAAAGAAAAGTGGTTTTGTGCAAGTGCTCTATAGATTGTGGGAGTAAAAAGATGGAGCTTTGTGAGTTATCTGCTTAGATGGATGAGCTGTCTGAAGGAGCAGAGGTCCAAGGTCAGAGCCTTAGAAGACATCTACAGATGTGAGTAGAAGAAGAGGAGTCAACAAGAGAAAAAGAGACAGTTAATGGTCAGCCATGAAGGAAGAGATCAAGATAGTATCTATTATAATACAGAAGCCACAGCAAAAGAGAATTTTAAGAAGTGTAAGGGACAAGAGATCTACTGTGTCAGATATTGCAGAGACAAATTGAGGGTATTGCAAACATAATATTTGGCAAGAAGGTAAATGGTAATCCTTGAGAAAATAGGTTCAATCAATAAATGATCAGAACTTTGGACTTCTATATGCTCCCTTCTTGATATCTTCTACTTATCTTCTTCTTGCTGCCAAATAGTCCTACTGCCTCTCTGTCTCAGCACCCACTAATTTCTAAACTCCCTACAATCTGTTTCCACAAATATCCATGCTTAAACAACATGCCTTGAAGATTACAATTATATCCCAACGCCCAAATCATATGGCCCTTTCTTGAGCTTCAATCTTCCCAGTCTCTCAGCAGCAGTGAGCACATCTCTCTCTTCTCAAGCTTCCTTCCTTAGTGTTCATAACATTTCATTATTCTGGTCAAAGTTGAAGCCAAGAAGAGAGAGGGGCTCTGTAGTGGTGATAAAACAGAGACTGAGGCATGGATCTGAACTTTGGGTGACTCTGACATGTCTCCTGAGTTCCTGGACTACATTTCCAGCTGCTATGGACACTTCCATTTGGAGATATCTAAAACCAAATTCTTTCATCTTCCTTGGAAAAGGCTCTACCAGATGATCTTCCTACTTTAGATAATGGTACCATCATTCTCTTAAAAATAACTCAATGGCTCCTTAACTAGCCCCCATCACCTTTAATAGCCCCCTTTTCCTCATCACTTCTCATGAGTCATTCATCAAGTAATGCCATTTCTTTATTGACCCATGGATTAAAACTTGTTATCTCACACTTGGATAGCAACACTTGCCTCCTAACTGGATTATCTGATTTATGTTTTCCCCCACTTTAAGCCTACTGGGCCACTGTGACGATTTCTTACAAAATTTAGCCTCAATCTAGCTGCCCAGCCTGGAAACTCATTACCCCTTCTTCCCACATGAAATTAATGCTTTACCCAGCTTAATAGAACTCTGCTCTGTTGCCTGACTGCGTTAGCCCACACTGAGCTTTTCCTCGTCCATTCATTCTTTTATTCATTTATTCAATGAATATTAATTGAGTACCTACTATGTACCTCTTCTTGAATAAATGTTTATTATCTGGAACACTCATTTGGCATTCATTATGTACTGCCTCTTTGGTTTACTTTTTATTACCTTCAACAAAATAGTTACCTATTTAACAGAAGGAGCCATGTACGATACCCGCTCAGAGCTATGTAAAGAGTAGATGCTCAAAACATGTTTACTGGCTGGTTGGCATTCTGGGAGCAGAAGCCAGATTGCAGAAGATTATAAATGGGAGAAGTGGAATAGGAAAAGCAACAGATGCAGAAGGTACTCTCAAGAGGTCTGGCAATTCTGTGATGAATATCAACTTGCCCCATTGGTTATTGTAAAACCTGTATAAAGCCCTTTTAGAAAAATATAAGCCATATGACAGCCTTTGGCTTTGGAGTCAAGTGCCTCCTGGCTCTCCTTGGGATTAGTTTCAGGGCATAAAGCTAACTGAGTGAGGTTATCAGTGTTGAGGGCAGAGGGGTGGCCAGGAAACTACAACCTGAGATTCCCACCCTCCCTTTTAAGATCTTTGTGATCTCATAATCCCAGCTTCACAACTGTAGTGCTTAAGAGACTTTCATAATTTGGGGATGTTGTCTCCAGGTGTTGTTGCTTGAAGCAGGATGAATGGTAGCTCAAACTTAGACAGTCCAGGGAATGCCATTTCCAGGACTAGATGTAGTTTACACACACAATTTCATTTGATTTTCAAAACAGCTCTATGAAACGGATTTATTGACCCCATATTACAGATCAGGAAACAAAGCTCCATTTAGAGAGTCCATTTAGGAAGCTACATTTAGAGAGTCATAGAGCTCAGAGGTGGCAGAGCAGGAATTTCAACCCAGCTCTGTCTGACTTCAAAGTCATTCTTATTCTATCTCTTTCATCAAAAATGTGACCTAGTGTTCTAAAAAGAATTTTAAAAATAAGAGTTAACCAGTAAAAACAGATCATTATTTTACCACCCATGGAGCTTGGTGCCATTTTCATTCATCTTGGACTTTCTTATTCTGACTCCTAGCTTGGAGTCAGATTCCCTTCTCTGAGGTCTGTCCTCAATTCTCTGAGCTGCCACATTCCCTGAGGATTTCAGCCCTGGGCAAGCTGGTAACTCTGCCAGGGTTGTCTGGAGATAATCACAGAGAAGGCCCTTTTAATACTGTTGTAAACACATTGTTTCCTTTGTAATTCCTGAAAAGTGATAGGTGAATAGCTGCACATATCAGAGACCATGGGCCTGAGTTCAAGTCCCAGCTCCTCCACCTTCCAGCTCTTTGACCCCAAACAAACACCTTTATGTGCCAGTCACTGTGCTATGTATTTAATAAATGTTATTTTATTTAAATAAATTACATGTTTGCAGTGGTATGGGAAGATCTCTAAAACACATTAAGTTTATAAAAAAAGTATTGATGGGAACAGTGGGCATAATATGCTACTCTATATGTTTAAAAGCAGAGAAAATAAGAATCTATAGCAATATTTGCTTGATATGCATAAACAATTAACAGTGGTTTTATAAGAGGGGAGCAAGTGGCAGTATGTGTTGGGAACAAGGGTGGGAGGGAGACTTTACTGTGTTACATTTCATACTTTTTGAATTTTGAACCATGTGGCTACATGACCTATTCAAAAATGTAAATGTGTATTTCAAAATAGAAACCTAACATGCTACAGTGGCAGATATTGTGGTTAGAAAAAATATTGGTTTTAGAGCCAGTCAAAGCTTGGGTTCAAAGGGTTCAAATCTCTGCCCCTTACTTGCTGAGGAACTGTGGGAAAGTTAGTTCCTCACTTGCAAGATAGGGATAAATGCTTCCCAACTGCAAAGGACTGTTGGGAGAACTATTTGAGATGATGGATGTGAAATGAAAATATAAAGCATGGCGCCTAGCACACAGTAGCTACTCAGTAATCACTAACACATTTCCTGCAAAATATTTTCACTGTGCAGTATTTAGCCATGTTCTTAGTTTCGGTTTCCATCAACATTCTTTAGGTACAGTTGTTCAGCGACTTATGAATCTCCATAACTGTACTGTCATATCTCCTGTATTTCTGCATCTCATCCATATCAATGGCATGAAGACATTGCCACATGCCTCACTTACTTCCACATAGTGTGCCCACCAATTTCTCCTGCTCTACCAGTCTTATGGCCATACCCCAAATGGAAATGAAGTCAGTCTTGAAGGACTGGTTCTTGAGGACACCTGAAGATCAGTACTTTTTTTTTTTTAATTTTCTTTTTTTTTCTTTTTTTTATTAATTAATTTATTTTTGTTACAGATGTTTCCCACCCCCTTGATTCCTCCTTCCCCCTCCCTCCCTGCCCTGTCCCCAGCTTTGTTGTCCATGTCCATTCTTCATTCATACATGCATATAAGTTTTGTGGTTTATCTCTCCCCCACCACCCCCTCTTCTGGGGATTGTCAGTCTGTACCCCACTTCCACGTCTCTGGGACTACCCCATTCCTCAGACTGTTATGTTCATTATATTCCACAAAT